CATATTTTTATTATTAAATATGCGTTATAATGTGTTATTGATGATTAATGTTCAGTAAATATAGTCAGATATCAGATGTTTTGCAATTGAAATTAAATTATTAAATGATTAATAGATTAAAATAGGATTTGATGATAGACGTTAGATATATATCCTATGATATACTTAGAAATACATGTGTTTGGATTCATAATGAAGGTAATTAAACATATTATTTGTTTTTGATATGAAAAGAAGAGTTAGTAACGTATATAAATTAATATATGGTTACATATTATAGAATTAATATTCAAACTGATAGATAAATGATATTAAGAGTCAAAAATTCAAAGAAATCTTACTTTTTTGTATCATTCAAAATTGAATGTAATAAAATCATATTGAAAATAAATTAAGGATTTTCGCCATATTTTTGATATAATATATTATTGAACTCTTTATTGTACTTTTATTGCTCTCAATTTTGAGACAACTTTTGATAAAAAAATCTTTTCAAAATTACAAGATATTTATTTTGTTATTCAAATAATGTTCGTTAAAAAATATTTTATAAAAGTTTGAAGGAGATTTCAAAAATTCATTCCTTATTTAATTTAGTGAGACCTTATGCTATTTAAATAAATCAAACGATAAATCTTCCTAATAGGTGTCAAAAGATTAATTCACATCCAGGTCAAATTAGGCCATAATGTATGTAGATGAGGACTGTCTTCAAGGCAGTCCTCATCTACCTACATTATATAACCATATTTCCCATATTTTTATTTGAATGTGAATGTGTAATTCTCAATTCCAGGACTGAGTGCATGGTTGCAGTAGGTTACTATATGCTCTTGCATCCATGTAGTCGGATCTGGAAATTGGCTTACTTTTCCTTTCGATGCGAATATGACAAATACTTTTCCAATTCTGCACATATAAGTGCAGGGTACATCACTTGTACTCTGCATTTATGTGTGAAGAACTGAAAAATGATGTACTTTTCATGAAGAATATCACGTCGTTATTTTATTTTGGAAAGGAGTTTAAATTTGTAAGCTATTGTTCTATCACATTGCAAATGTAACTTCCTTTCATCAATAATTTCATTTTAATAAATTATAAATATCACATTTAGCATAAAATTCTCAAATAATATTCACTTTCTCATTTTGATCATAAAGATTGATACTTTATAAATACAAAATTTTTGAATTCTTTATTTTTCATATGAAATTTGTAATTTTGGGGCGGCGACAAATTTGCCCAGCCAGTAAAGTATTCAATTTTTTTGCATTTTTTAAGGGTGCACACGAGAGGATCATGTAAACTTCAGAATTTAGCTTCTTAAGGGTGCACCCATATGTACGTTTATTTGAGAGGAGGAGGATTACCCTCTCAATTTTGAGGGATTCGTTAGTTTATTTTCTCGATGAATATGCAATAAAATTTGATTTTTACCTTATCAATATACTTCATCTAATATACACATGTTCATGTAAAAACTTTTTCCCAAAATCCTCAGGAATTAAGGGATTTTTGAATTTTAAGAATTTTTTTCGAATTTTTTCGAAAAAAAAATATTTTCAGAACAGCCTTAACGGCTAAGATTTAGGAACAATGTTAAGTATCAAAAAGAAAGGAGGTCTGATATAGACAACATATATCGTTGAAGGTTGAAAAAATCTCTAATATTTGAGCCCAAAATTTCAAATTTTAATTTTTTGAAAAAAGAGGCCACCCGTATGTACGTTTATTTGAGAGGAGGAGGATTATATTTTTGAAAGGGTGAAACATTATGAATATGTTAATTATATAATAATATGTATTATTATAAAAAAGAAAAAATAAAGCACGTTAAAATTTTTCTTTCTTGATTTTTTACAAAATCTACTTAGAATTATGCAAAATATGACTAAATAATTATAAATTTCAAGTTAAATTTTAATTTTGATAAATAATTTAAATTTCAAAATATCAAGTTCAGTTCGACTATGTATGTAGTAATTCCTCAATAAAGTGCCAAAACCCTATTAAAATATATGAACATTTTCAACATTTTAATGTTTTTATTTAAAAATTTGATGGAATATGAGCTTCAAACAATTATTATGTAAATAAAAATAATTAAATATATGTATTTATTCGTATTACAACCGTAGTAAGTCGATTCTTCCTTTCTTCTACTGAGGTTTGAATTTGATTTCGAATTGTAAAGAGATTCAAAGGGAAAATACTAGCGGATAAAAACTACCTCCATGAAAGGGTCATAATGGAGTCAAGTTGTATTTTTTGATATTTTTTGCTTTTCGAGCCTAAATAGGTAGCCAAGATAATGCCTAAAAATAAGGTTCTAAATTCTGAAGTTTACATGATCCTCTCGTGTGCACCCTTAAAAAAAATGCAAAAAAAATGTAATAAAATAAAAAAATTTTTAGTATCGATAATCTGAAATATGTTGTTTACTTAAGCCGCTCGCTTCGCTCGCGGCTTAGTTTCGTAGTTTCGTACAATCTTTTTTCAAATCTGTTCTTTTCGTCAGCCGCGAGCGAAGCGAGGGGCTTAGTTTCGTAATTTCATACAATCTTTTTTCGAATCTGTTCTTTTCTTAAGCCGCGAGCGAAGCGAGTGGCTTAGTTTCGTAATTTCATACAATTATTTTTCGAATTTGTTCTTTTTGTCAACCGCGAGCGAAGCGAGTGGCTTTTTATTTTTTTAAATTTTTTTTCTTTCTTACTTTTTTTCCCCTTACTTACAAATTTGATAGTAACTTACCAAATCTCTCTATCATATAATAATAAATTAATCCATTTTTTGTTTCAAATCTGACACTTTACATTTCTGACATGTAAACATGTCACTTTTCACTTCACCTCACTGGGCAAATTTGTGCCCCACTCTGTAATTTTTTCTTTGAAATTCCGAATTTTCATTTTTTTGGAAATTTTTATTCAATTTCTGCTTTATTTTATTCTATTCTTTATAGATAATAATTTTATTCAAGTTTATTATTTAAAAATTTCAATACATACGATAATTTTTAATTCAATTTTTAAACGAATGTTTTGATGGGATGAGCTTACTGAGCATAAGCTCATCCCATCAAGATATTGCATCAAAACTCTGGCCTTCATCAAGGTCAGAGTTCATAATTCATCGCCTCAGTGCCAAGTTCCTCGAAGATCGTCCTCATTAGGATCGATCCGAGAGGAACTTGACTCTGAATGAAATTCACAAGCTCTGGCCTCAGAAAATGCCAGAGCTTCGCAAACAATCCTCGGGGCCGGTTTCCTCAAAGACCGCCCTTATTCGGGGCGGCCGGAGAGGAATCTAGTCCCGAGAGCGCGTTTATAGGAAGCACTGGCCTTTTTCTGAGGCCAGAGCCTGCAAATACAATCCTCAGGGCCGAGTTTGAGGGAGATCGTCCACATTTTTGACGATCCCCTCTCCTCTCGGCCCTGAAAGACCAATAGACAAAGGTTCTGGCCTCAACAGGAACCAGGGCCTCGCTTACAATTCTCAGGGCCGGCTTTCTCAATTGCCGTCCTGATCTAGGGCGGCAGGAGAGAAACCCAGCCCTACGAAGCAGTAAATTCGAAGCTCTGGTCTCTGCAGAGGCCATAGCTTGCAAATACAATCCTCAGGGCCGAGTTTTGCGATGATAGTCCACATGATAGACCGTCTCGCAAGAACTCGGCCCTGGAAGACATAAAATCACAGGCTCTGACCTCAGCATGGATCAGAGTCTCGCTTACAATTCTCAGGGCCGGCTTTCTCAATTGCCGTCCTGATCTAGGGCGGCAGGAGAGAAGTCCGGCCCTGGGAAGCAGTAAATTCGAAGCTCTGGTCTCTGCAGAGGCCATAGCCTGCAAGTGCAATCCTCATGGTGTAGTTTCGACCTGATAGTCCTTCATGAGGACGATCAAGTTAAAACTCTGCCATGAAAGAAAGGAACATGCATACTCTGGAGCCTTATGAGGCCAAGGCTTCCCATACAGTCCTAGAGGCCGAGTTTTCTGAGAATTTCCACATCACGGACAATTCTCAGTGGAATTCGGCCCTTAGAATCATTAAATACGAAGCTCTAGCCTTTCTTGATGCCAGAGTCTGCAAAGTTAATCCTCAGGGCTGAGTTTGAGGGAGATCACCATTATCAAGGACGGTCACCTCTCTCCTCAGCCCTGAAACACCTACGGATACAGGCTCTGGCTGTTGCTGAGGCCAAAGCTTCGCTTGTTAATCTCAGGGCCGTTTTTCTCAATTGCCGTCTTATTCTAGGCGGCAAGAGAGGAATCCGGCCCTGGAAGCGATAACTACGAATCTGTGGCCTCATTATAGACCAGGGCTTGCAATTCATTTTATATAATATTTTTTTATTTAATATTTTTTTTTTCAATGATTTGTTTTTAAAGATTATTGATACAATATCTTATAATATTTAAGTAAAATAGCAAAATACCCTTTGAAAAACTATTGTCAGACAATATTTTATAATCTCTATATTCATTCATAAAAAAAATACGTCTAGTAATGCTCTGCATAAGTGGACAATAAAGTATTAAGATTGCTCTTTTATATAATAGAATGCAATTGCTCATTTATTAAGGATATATTTGTATTCAATTGTGATCTATTTAAGCAAAATAAGAAAACAGCACCAAATTCATATAGATGCATCTGTATATTCTATATTTTATAGTTGCACTATTACAATTGTTGAAACTAAATCCCAATATCCCCCGCTCATTAATTGATGAAAAAGTGATAAAAATTTGAGAGGTCATATTAAAAAAGTCACTTTTTAATATAGACTCCAAACCTTTTTGAATATTTTTTTCCCTTCAAATTTATTATTGCTTCATATTGGAAATATATATGTGGCTTTTGATTTCCAAATTAAATCATTCAATATTTAGGCTTTCGGTATAGTGTGGATTACAATATCAAAAATTTTGAATTTGAATTAGATGTAATAAAAAGTGTATACAAATTAAGTAATACATGATAAGTTTATAACAAAATTAAACATTGCAGTAGAAAATACTATCCTTAGGTATTTCGAAGAGAGGAAGGGGGATTTGTTGAACAATTGCTGTTTTAACCTCGGACTTCATATCGTATTCAGAATCAGTAGTGGAGTCGCTTCTGGAAAAATTGGAATTTTGTTTCTTCTTCAAGAGAAGAAATCTGTTCCTGACAGCTGCAACAGTACGTCCTGCAAACATTTCAGAGATCTGTTGCCACTTACTGCCAATTTTATTATACTGACTGATTAAGATTTCGTCCTCAAAGTGAGTCCATTCCTGCTTGTTAAGGTTAGGATTCAAGTAGTTATTATATCTTTCTCTATATTGACGAGGAGTACGTCCTTCCATATCAAATGAGATTGTTCTCCAGTCAACTTTCTTTCCGCATCTCTCAACTAGCATAATAAGTTTCTCATCTTCCTTTGGTGAGAAGAGGGATCTTGATGACATCTTCTTTGTTTGCATTATGAAAAAATGATCATGACAAAATTTTGAAAGAATAACTCTCAATTAAAATTTCAATTGCATAAAACCCTATACAGGCGTATATTAATTTTTAAATAATAATAGAGAATCACGTGGATACTTAATGAGCAACAATGATTTACAATTAAAGACTAACAAAAAATTGAATAGCTATTTTTCAGAAAACGTAAAGAATTTACGCTATTGTATGAACATCACATTGTCTACAGCATTATTATACGAAAACAAAAATTGAATGAAAAAACTTGAATGTCACACCACCCATCCATAAAAATAAATCTTCTGTATGTTGATAATGTAATGATATTGGATAGTAGTTATTTTTTGTGATAGCATTGAATTTATCGTTATATTTACTTCAAAAGTTCAAAAAATAACCACAATTGAATTCATTGTTTTGCGATCTATTATTGTTATAATTGGTTAAATTCCAAATTGATTAAAAGCAACAGAAGTTGTCACGGGTTTCAAATTCGTTACCTCACAATCCACATTTTAGTTGGCTAATCAAAATCTTTAAGGAGTAACAACTGAATATTAGAATATAGATCAATCTTAACGATTAGTTTGTTCATCATGTAAATCTTGTCATATCTGAAAATTTGTTTTAATAGAAAGATTTATATATCAAGACCGAATATTGCATACCCTACTATTTTAGCATTATTTCCTTCCGAAATTCCGGAAATAATAATGAATGAGTATTTTTCCCAAAATAACCTGATTTATTTTATATATTCAATTGATGAAAACATTATTTAAGATCAAATGTAATCTATCTACATCTTTTGATTATGTGTGTGATAATGCCTTGAAGCACATTCGTTTGTTTAATCCCCATAATTGAGAATTTTAATAGTTTATATTAAGCTTTATTGCATGTTAACTTAAATGATAACTCCCGAATTTATTCGGATCTTGAGCTTAAATTATTTTTCGATAAATTTCCTAAGTCACAGATTCCTATTCCTTTAAGGACATGGTTGTTATTAATATATAGGATATATCTAATCGATTTTGTTCGGAATATAAATTAAAACAATATCGATAATTAAAAATTAGGATGTAATAACATGAAAAAGCAATAATACTTCATCGCACAAATTTCTTTGTCTAAAATATTTTTATACGCGTATCATATTGTTGCTATTCAGGAAATTATTTAAGATAAGAATTAAGTATAAAATATGCTTGATAGGTTTTATAATGAGATGTAGCAATTACAATAAGAAAATTTAAAAGATTATCAATCCTAATCAGGTCGGAAATAATATTAATTGAATGAAACGTGCTTTTTATCCAAAACATTTATATAATATTTAATAACCTTTAAGAAATTATTTTGATCCTTTTTATAAAAAACCAGGCGTAAAACTTCCGCAAATAAAAACAGCAGATAATTGTCAGTAGAAAGCAATATCACTGATAAAAGATATGAATTTTCAAATTCAATGCTACGCCATTTTGACATTAATCTTCTCAAATTGACTTTTATTTCCTATTCAATAATTCAAAACATTGCAAAACTTGAATCAGCTTTTTTCTGGATTTATTCATTTGATAAATCCGGTATTAATAAAACTGATTCAACAACCACAATTTTCAATTCTCATACTTAATTTTGACATCACTTCATTCAAATAAAGATATGTTCAATCTAAGCAGCAAGTGCGAGATTTCTATTCAATTGAGCGAAAAGATATGAATATAGGAAACGCAGATATCAATTCCCTAGTGAACTCCACAATTGATGCAGTTAATTCCAAAATCTTTTCGATCAACAACATTTTCTCTTTAATTGATTCGGTTGCAACATATAGGCCGAGACACATAAAGAAAATATATATGTTTTGCAAGCAACTCATTTCTGCAAATCATATTTCCTTAAATAAAGGTGCATTTCAGAATGAATTATTATGTGCTCTTTTGGTGAAGGACCAATTATTGAATTCATTCATGCCATTTAAATTTAGAAAAATGACGACTGAACAACTCTATCGCTCTTATGAGGAAAAAACGATAGAGTATGCCTTATTATGGGATGACAAAGACATTCTTGAATACGTAATGGAAGAGCAGCAACTATCTCCAGACTCGAATTTGAACAATGATTTCACAGTTATTGATTTAGCAGCAAATTTTGGAGCCCAGGACTGTTTCACATACTTATACTCCATTTCTCCATGCGTTACTATGAATACATTGCGCAAATCTTTCATCGGAAACGACAATAAAATTATTCAGACTTGTTTGAAGCATCATAAGCCAGATACATTATGTATTGAGAACGCAGTAATGGCTCATCATAATTCAACAGTGGCCAAGCTCATCAAAGAATACAAATTAAATTTCAGTTGGTCTTCATGCCTGCAATACTTCAATATGCAGTGCTTTTTCATGAAGGTTTCTGTTTGTAAAAACGTCAATATGAAAGATTTTGAGAAGAATAATGCATTGATTGCTTCATCATTGTATTCGAACTTCATTGCAGCGGAATTCATGATTAAACTTAATGCTGATGTCAATGAAACTGATGCTATGGAAAATTCTCCTCTTATAATTTCTTCGATCAATAATTCCAAGGAAATGGTGGAATTATTAGTCAGAAATCATGCAAATATCTTCCAAACAGATGCTTATGGAAGAACTGCATCCGAAAACGCTGAACTAAAGGATAATCAAAAGATCGGTCGTTATCTTCATAAAATTGAGCAGCAAACAATAGGTAACATGGTTTCTTGCAGTTGAAGAAAGAATTGTGTTAATATTAATCACAAAAGAAGATTTTAATAATATTAACAAGGAAAGATAAAGATAACAAAAGGCCGGAAATTTATCTGAACGAAGCAACCTTTTCTTTAATCAAAGGAAGGTTTACTCCAACGATCGTGTCTATCGGATCTAATCTATTTGCATTTGTGCAAAACTTGAGTACAGGAATGGAATCTATACCGAAATATGCTTTAATATCCGGACATTCGTCTGAATCTATCTTAAGAAATTGGACTTCTGGATATTCTTGTGCGTATTGTGGCAACATTTTTGTAACTCTTCGGCATCCTGGGCACCAGTTTGCATAAATGTCCAGTACTGTTAATCCCTTATGATTTGTGATTGCATCGCAAAGATCATGAAGGGAGCCATTGAACTTCTTGACCTCAGTCATCTATTTTGATTTTGAATAAAGAAAAAATTGAATAAGTCTTCAAAATTTGTCTAAGGTTTTTAATTGATTTTGCTGTTATTTTACTTAGATATCTAATCTACAATAAAAAAGAATATTTTTAAAATTGTTGATCTGTAATTGAATAAAAATAGCATCATGAACTTTTTTACGAAATCGAATGTATTACTAAGGCTACCGCAAAACACATGAAATTCTCAAAATAAAAAAACGTAAAATGCTTATTCAAAAAATTGAAAATTCCTTTGAAAACTGAAGTTCAATTTTAAGATTCAAAAATCATTAGTTGTTGATAACAAGCATACAAACATTAATTCTTCCGATAAAAATTTATGGGCAAACATTTTGGAAATTATGTTGTTAAAATATGCCATTTTGTGCATATAGCCCATATCTGAAGTTTTTTCTTTTGAATTCAATTTTTTTAATTTTTATATCTGACATTTTTTGCTAAAAGCTAGATAATCGCAATAAGAATGGCTTACACTAAATATCCGATTTATGCTTTTATTCAAAAATTTTATAAATTTGTTACATATTCTTTACATATTCATTTGCTCGGTTACGATTTCTCACTTTATTAATTTGCATATTCTAAGTTTCATTTAATTTTATATAGTCTTTTCACAGTATCAATAATCTTGATTAAGATTTTGTTACCCTGTCTTGTGGAATACATCAATATTTTTGTTACATGGTTAAACCATCATTAACAATATTTGTTATCTTTTCAATTTTTATGAAATCAAATAATTTCCAGTCCCGATTATTTCTTATGCGTTATTTTATGACTTTCTCTACTTTATGATATTAATGTATCTTATATCTTAGTGACAATTGTGTATATCACAACATACGAACAAGAGGGACAAATTGTTAAGCAACAATAATACCAAAGAAAACCAATGAGGCAAATCGAAAATATTTATTCAAAAAAAGATAATTTCAATAAAAATAAGAAAAAATTAAAAATTACAACAAAATTATTGATGAATTATTTTTGTGAGATTGGTAAAGGCTTCTTGAACGGTCATGTCAGGTTTTAATTCCTTAATGCAGTAGTTTACAGCGTTCTTGAACTTTTCTGCTTCTTTGAAGCTTGTAATATACGGAGAAGTGTATATTCTGGCCCTGAAAATATCATTAACGAGTGTTGATGATATTGACATTCCTCCTGGTGGATAAGGACCTTTGCAAATTGAAGTTGCAATTTGTGCATCAGTAATATCGCCTCCTGTTGTCATTTTACCAATGTTTGAAACACTAACGGAGCCAGTCATTGCTTGGGATATGTTCTTTTGTATAAATGATTAACGGATCTTAATGCTTCGCCATTATTTAATTTTTCTTGCATATCCTTACGGAGTAAAGCACTCAACTCATCAATAATCAATTTGGCATACTTTGTAACGATGCTTGTATGTGCATCTGCGACAATTAAACTATCAATATTGCAATGACTCCAATCTGGGTTTTTCATGTATCTTCTGGCATTAACAGCAAGTTGACTAGCAATAGAAGTTAACATTTTGTTGTATGCTGAAGCAGAAAGCGTTGCTGCGAGCATCATTTTTTCTGTAACTTTCGACATCTTTTCTTTGATCGGGAATTCAATCAATGTGTAAATTGCATATTCTTTTTCTTGTTTCTTGCGATAATTTCTGATTGGAGTAGTCATCGTTGAAATTTTGCCATTTGTATTAGCCAATTGATCAGAAAGTGCATCAATTATTGATGTATGAATTTTAGCTTGAGTATCCTTTGGTGTTTCTCGTCCACACACATGATCCAAAAGCATCTTCATGTATCCGCCATCTGATGACGAATGATTGCAATTAAATATAACGGTGTCCTTATTATAGCATATTGATGCTAAGCGAGTTGACTCAGGAATTGTATGATTTTTGGCAACAAATTTATTTGCCTCTTCTAAATGAGGAAACTTATCAGGAATTTGATAAGTTGGGCATGGCTGATCTGTGTAAACATAATTTTTACCATCAAACAATGTTCGACAGCCAATGCATTTTTTAGAAATTTCATTGACAATTTCTGAAACTTTATTGTTCTTTACCTTTACGGCAAGCTGAACATAGCATCCAACAGATAATTGGAGCTTTTCAAAAGCATTAGGAAGCATAGTTGATGGTCCAATCATCAAAAAAGAATAAAAAAATTAGAGCATCAAAGTTAGCATTCAATTTTGTGATCCATTCAAAGACACAAAATCTTAAAATTAAGAATTGTTGATGGGATTCTATCAAAATTTTTATCGAGAATAAAAGGTACTTCGGATCTAGGTCCCTTGATGATTTTGACTTGAACACTAAATTTGTGTCTATAAATGGACTACAAAATTGAACGCTTACTTCACATTCAAAACGATTTGAGAGCAGAATAACAATATCTCACTTTTGTGGACAAAATGAAAAACCTATGAATTTGTAATGCATATTCTATCTTCTAATTAGAAAAATTACATTGCTCGCCACCAGCATGTCATGATGCTTTTTATCAGAATGAATTGAATAAAGTTTAGAGATCTGTAGTTTGAATGTATAAAATTAATTAAACTACATAGTCAACTTAATTAATGATCCCAGTTGGCTAGGCTTGCCATTCGGGCAAAACAAATATATCTTGACTATAGAAAGTGAGTTTATACAAATAAATTTGAGTGTGATTGATTAATATTATATTATAAAGATTATTATGGAAAACATAAGACATATTTTTAGGACAATCGAAGAAATTTAGAGAATACACTTCGAGTTTGTTCGAAAGAAATATTAAAAGCAAAGCATTTATTAAGAATTTGTTGTGAAATGAATACGCTTCGATAATACATTAGATTGGCGTGATAGTTGACAAAATTGGAGCTGAAGACTGGTTGATAAATGAAGAAAAGGTCTAAATTATAACAAAGGATTGCAATACATTTGAAAATTTAATAGTTTTATTTTGTGATATGATATCTATGAGATCACAGATATTGGTTTGAGAAGGTATTTAAGAACTCTAAATCTAAAGACTAATTAAGTATATGATGACAAAGAATTTGATATAGATGAAAATCCAAATTTTTCGAATTTTCAAAATGAAATCTTTAACTAAATTGTCATATTATGAATAATTTAAGGTACGGTGTCACATCAATGAGGCATTAAGTCAATGTGATGCATTAGAAGTTTGATTAAAAAGTCTGGTTATGAAATGATGAAAATGTGAAATGAAAATGCAACATTTCTCTCAATTTTTATAACACTTTTTGTCTATCGTTTTCGAAGTGGCACATCGCGCCGCTAATAAAATTTGGAGAACAACACAGGTTGTTTGTTCGGCAAAATTATTTCAACGAATTAAGATTCATAATTTGATGTAACATAATAAGATCTAATTGATTTTTGACTCTTGAAATAAATATTTTGAAAAGTCATTTTCTTCGCTATTTGATAGGCGCAAAGCGCCAACCAAATAGCTCAGATTAATAATATGATATTATTTCATGTATAATGAAAATTTCATCTAGCGGTGCTACGCGCCGATAGATGGGGGAAAAATTAATTTTGTTAGAGACTTTCAAATAATGAAAAAATATAATATCTCCTGTATATATTTATCGAGCTTTTTGAAATTTTCTATTGATTAATGTAACATAATGAAGGATTTTATTGAAAATAGATTGGATTAGATAATATATCGCATTTTGCTTTAAATGATGCAAAGATAATTGGTATGCAATTATTCGAATAGATTGTCGTTTTCATATTATTTTTGAAAGATGACTAACATCTCAGCAGCACGATATGAGCATCTTTCAAAATGTATATCATCATCAGTCACAGCTGCAATCGAGGAAATCATCGATAAATCAGGAGATAACAATGTAAATTTGCTAAAGAAATTAACTGAAGATATTAATGTAATTCTAACCTGCACAATAAAATCCGAGCAGGAGGATTATATTGAAAAAATCTCATACGACCTCGAATGCGCACTTAACGAGAAAAGAGAATTGCAAACTCAATTAGAGAAGCTTTCAAAGAAACTGAAAACTACGAAATCGCTATTACAAGAACAGAATATTGCATATATCAATAAAACCAGAGAATTAGAAAATTCCCTTCATGAAACCAACTGGAAACGAACAGTTCAAGAAGGAAAATACCGAGAAAGTATTAAAGAAAAGGATCAAATTATCAATAATATGAAAAATTCTTTGAAATCTATAAGAAATGAGATACTTGAGCTTAAAAACAGTATTTTAGTACTTAATTCTTATTATGCAAAGCAGCATGCTAAACAAAAACTTTATATAGAACGTGTTAAGCAAGTTACCCATGAATCTTTTCAAAATTCGATTTCCACAATTACAAAGCAAAACTTAGAGAGCGAAACCAGGTCAATCAATAGCTTTAATGAACAAATTTATGAAGAACAAGCAAGAAATGCTTCAATGAAAAACTCAATTAATAGGATTTTAAATACATTAACAGAATTTTCACCAAATAAGTCAAAATACAGCTTCACAGCAGATAATTTTACAAAAAAGGAAAAAGAATTCCATCAATTTATTATTGAAACTATGCAATTTCAAAAAGATAACGCTTATCAATCAATAAAGCAAGAGCTTCAACTTGCGATTCCTAATATCAAGTTAGATGAAACTGCAGATATTGTGAACGTGATTTCGCAGCATTGTAATCAAGAATTAAAAGAATGCCCAAATTGTAATCAAAAACAGCTTGAAATTAATGAATTGAACCACCAAATTGAAGAACTTAAAGAGAAACTTGAGAAAACTCATACAAAAGTCCAACAAATCAAATCTCAGCCAGAAGAAACAATTTCATATGAATCTGTTATTACTGATTCAGACGATTGGGAGAAAAGAAGAAAGGAATTGGAAAGGAAAATTACTACACTTAGTAAACTTACAAAAAGTCCTTTAAAAAGCATGCCAAATTAATATTTTATTTGTATGATGAGTCCTATCACTTTTTGTATGTATACTTTTCATTTACTGCCTGTTTGTATTGCAAATTGTCTGTTTTATTGTATTTTACCTCAATTTATTTTTCTTATAGAATAAATGTGTTGTTTTTATTTAATCAATATAATAATATTGCTCCATTAGCGAAAACATAAGTAAGCTTTCTACTGTCATTTTTCAATTAAAAGATTTTAAATCAAATTAATTTCAAAATTAATATCTATCACATAATTTGTGGATACAACGATATTATGTCACTATTAGAGTAAATTTATCAATATTTGATACAAATTTGGACTTTTTTTTTCAAAATCACAAAATTTATTTTCTGATGCGGACACTTATAACGTTGATAAAAAGATATTACTCATAGTATAGATTTAAATTATTGTCAAACTTGAGATCCGGATGAAAGCAATAAAATTTGAATTGATAAAATTATTCCATTCAAAAATGAAAATTTGAATTATCAATCAATTTTAATATGATACAAGGTCTTATAGATAAAAAATATACAAAATGTCCATTTACAGCAGAAGAAGATGCTAAACTTGCTGCATTGGTTGCCAATTTCAGCCAAAAAGATATCAATTGGAATGAGATTTCGAATCAAATGGTGAATAGAAACCCAAGACAGTGTAAAGACAGATGGGAAGGATATCTTGATTCATCTATAAATAGATCGGAATTCTCATGTGAAGAAAATTACTTTATCCTCAAAAAAGTTGAAGAGATTGGGAAAAAATGGAAAATAATTTCTTCTTTGATGAAGCATAGAACAGATGTGGCAGTAAAATCGCAGTATCGAAAGCTTCTAAGGCATAATGTATCAATAGAAAACGTTTTCAGAATTAATCCAGAAAGTTACATGATAAAGATCAAAACACCATCAAAAGTTGAAAGGGTTATCAAGCCTTTATTAAAAGAAGATGATATTAATAAGGTTCCATACGATTCGAAATTTTTGAATGAATGTTTTGATCAATTCTTCGCCATGGAAAATGAAATTCTTGAGCCATGTGTTAAATGATTAATCGAATTCTTTATATAAACATCTTTCTATCACCAATTTCATGAATTTTTTTGATTTTTGGAATTTATGAGAGTATTCTTACCTTACAATTATTTTGTATGAATTCAAAAAATCCTAGAGTGAATTTTAGGGGAAAAATGCATGAATTTTTCGAAATTGAAAATCTCATGTTTAAAATGATCATTTTATAGATGAAAAGTTATGAATTCCAATTCAATGTAACATATGGGTATGATTATAATTACAATGATCAATTTGGAATTCTTCATTGCTTCATGGGTCCAAATGAGTTTTGGCATTCAGTAAATGAAATGTAAATCTATATAACTTGTTTTGAATAATATAAAACATTATAATCACCCATTACATTATCTTCTCAAATTTTTTTTGGCAAGATGTATAGTAAATTGGAGATGTATGAGCTTTTCAAAAGCAATTAATATTGAAATCAGCCTTTTTAAAAAAGAATTATCTTCTGAAACAATCAATAGAAAATGCTTTTGAAAATTTGTAAAAAATAGCGAATGTTTCATGTTCTCTTTTATGATAGAGACAAAATGTTAATCATTCACTCTTGAATCGTATCTTTGAACTGGATTATGCTTCGATAAAATGATACTACATAATTAAGCCTGAAAATCATCATTTTATGCGGTAAAATTATAAAATAAAATATATTGTATAAGAAATAATCGCTTAGAATCGATAATTAATTTGAAATTGTCTTACAGTTTGGCCAAAATCTGCCAACGTAGAAAATCGGAAATAATTAAATAACTATACATAGATATTTGTTTTCATCCTATTTGTAATGTAGGTTGGGCATTAAACCATTGAAATTTTCAAATAGAAAATCTAATAAGATTGAATAAACCATTCAATTTTCTGGTGATGTCTAGTAATTGAATGAAGAATTTTCTTGAGTGATTATTTAGTAATTTTGCCGCAATTGAGATGCCTAGCAATATATAGCATAATGTGTAAATTTATATTAATCTGAAAAAGATAGATAATAATTGTTTTTATGATCTATTATAAGCACGTTTAATAACATAAAATTCCAAATTCTCTACACAAATATTGATTAAATGACCAATTAGCCAAAGCCTTGAGGAATTTTGTTGTAACCAATATTATTAATGTTTAGGCAAATAAAAAAGTTTCGAGTATTTTCAATTTAAAATTGAGAGAAATTGAAATCGATTCTCAAAAATTTTCGATTTTCTGAAGATCGTTCAATATAATATTTTATGATTTATGTTGATGTAAATTAACTAGTAATAAATTGTTAATTATTTGATTTTATTCTCAAAAGTTGAAATGACCTCCATTTTTCAATGTCTATTCAAGGACAATCCAGCTTTGTCATTTTCAATAAAAAGCGTGGTGGGTTGCCACAGAGCATGCGTGATTACGAAACTGTTCAACGCCGAATTAAAATGAATGGAGAAACAAAAATTGATTATGTTTCTTCATTTATTGACAAATTTTTTGGCACACATGTAACAATTACTATTCTATTAAGTCTTGCCAATATTGTTGTATCACAAAATCACATTAAGCTTGATAGACTCGCCCGGCGAAATCGTTCGGCTTTATTATGCTGGTATGCAGAAAACTGGAATGTTATAGATCCCATCCTTAGAGATAAAAACTTTATAGCAATGTTTTCACAAAATTCTCAAAAAGGTATTCAAAAAACTGAAAAATCTATTTAAATTAATAACCATAATAGAGACCAAGAAGTCTTTGATCCAACTAATTTGTCCTGCCTTTTAAATAGAAAATAAGCTCAAAAAATGTTGTCTATTATATTGAACTGTTATATATTAAATAAACTTTTACCGTTTAAAAAATTATTGGTAATGCTGATAAAATTTCTTAGTGGTTTCTCTTAAAATTGAATACCAGAAAAAATAAAAAAAAATAAAAATTTTAGTAATAAAAGCATGATAAAGGAAATATTGAGATCATCAATTAGAATAACTCTATATATCTTTATGAAGAAAGCAACAGATTTCGAAATCCGCTTTATTATATTTTAATTTATACAAAACAACCGAAACATTAATAGATGATTCATGAAAGTAACTCACGAAATAGTGTGTATTCATTTTCTTCTCCGAATTTAGACAAAAATGTATTATCTTTTGCAATAATATAGTCAATATCAACAACTGTCAGTGGCTTCTCTTTTTCGGTCTTACCATATCTCTTTGACAATGTTTTGTGCCATCTATTCTTCACGTTATTTGCTGATCTTCCTTTAAGTGATTTTGCAATAAGTGTCCATTTTGGGCCAATCTCTGTGTACATTTTTAATATTAATTCATCCTCTTCATCGGTCCATTTAGCATTAGAAATTTGTTTGCTAAGATAATTGTTATATCTATCCCAGAATTGTCTAGATGTTCTTCCTGGGAGCATTTGGGCAATTTCTTCCCATGAAAAATCAGATTGATCATTAACAATCTTCTTTAGAATTCGATCTTCTCTTGGAGTGAACCTGCATCTCTGTTTCTTTATTTTATTTGTTTGATCTGACTTACTGATATTAGTTTGTGTTGACTGTCTCATTTGCATTGCGTGTTAATAGAAAAAATGAATTGAATCTGCGGTTCGATTATAAAATAATTGAATAAGTTCTCTGAAATTGTCACTAATGTAATATAAAATTATAAAATTATTGACGTTAAATCGGATTGTATAAAGATTGCTGAAATAGATATGTACAGAATATTGAAACCACCTTTCAAAAAATTGAATTGTGTTACCATCAAAAATCTTTATGGTTTTGATTGGAACTTTTTTGAAAAACGCATATGTATATTGTAACAAATCCAATAAAATAAAAATCAGAATAACTAACCATCACATTCAATTTTATTAAAAGGTTTACTATACAATAAGATTCATATTAACTATGCTTATCTTTTCATTATATGCCTAATTATCAATTAAAATAAATTTGTAAAAATTGTGAAGAACATTAATATATGATCACATTAACCTATATCCCTTTAAATCAAAAACAGTTTAAATTTTTGAATGATAGTTTTGTGACATGTTAGTGTCATCAAATTATTCTTGGTTTTAGAAATTGCATAAATTACTACATTTCATCTTTGTATGCATGAATGTACAACTTATTTAAAAAAAGAATTGATTTTGTAATTTCAAATTTCCAAAAATTCATATAAATAAATGTGCCGTTATAAAATTAGCTTTATTTTGATGTTTGCATAGAATCACACAAGAAATTCTTGATCAATTAATGAAATTCTATTTTTTGAATCAAAATTACAAAATGAACACCCTTCAGAGTAAACTTATCTTTTCATCATGTGGTAATTAAAATTATTCATTTCCGGTGTTATTTAATTGTTATTTACTCAAAATCATCTAAATTTCAAATATTTTTGTATTATTCCTTTTCCATTAGGCATCATTATGTAACTAGATTTGAGATTTTAATGCAAAATTTTTAAAACTATCGATTTCACAACGCTGTCAGAATTTTGCAACAAGAATCATTTTGATTTTTTCTGACCAAAACTAATAATAAACAGCATTAACTCCATTACAGGAATGCAGTTCTAATGATGTAACATCAGATTTTATAGCAACCAACTCGTATTCTCTCAGAAAATATTGATATTTTTGATAAATTTTAAATAATTTTAACCAAAAGATTCAGCACAGTAAGCTAATTCAAAGCATTCTATCAGACATCAGGAATTTCAAAAACTTTAAAGAAAACAGCTACTATGATATATATTTAAATTATTTAAGTCCAATGATAATAGGAAGCAGTAAATTTCGATCTCTAGTACCTTTGATTAAAATTAGTAGAGTCATACATATAAATAATGAAATGTTGTTCAGAATATTCTTATTTACCTTTATGTTTAGAAATCATCCTTACTAATTTATAAATAATTTCACGAGTTAAATTGTTTCTACAGATAATTCATAAATATTTTTCTTATATTTTTGAACTCATTAAATTATACAGGAATATCATTGATAATACCTGCCTTTCAAAAGCTATTTCTCTCTATTGTGTTCAAAATATGTGCCCCATCAGTTAGAAAAAAATATTTATAAACATCATTCTGAAAAAATAAGTGTTCAACAATAAGGATCATAGAGTTAGCATACGCATACTTTTGAAAATGATATCTATAGCTTAGTTGACTTATTTGAATCTAATCTACTTTCGACATTATAAAATCCACAATATCAACGAAATCTTATATTACTTTATGATTATAATCTTAATATAAAACATTTATAGAAATATTTACACCATAGTTGTCTAGAATATGTTGATGAATCTAAGAGATCAGTTAAACGAATTCCCATTTTTCATATGAATGCTTCTTGTAACTATTGGTAAATGTAATAACAGTTCATATCTTTTGAGTTTTTGAAATAATTTTTTATAAGGAAATCACTTTAAAGTTTCAAGGGGATTTCACCTTCCTCTCATTTTATATGGTTTTTGAAGTATCTTAATTGAGTCAAATGAAAAGTTTTATCATAATGTTATGATGATTGCGTGAGCAAAAAAAATTCTTCAAGTATCAAAGATTTGTATAGTAAAACTTAGTGGAAAAATAATTTTTTAAATTTTTTTTATCACGCATATTTTTGAAAAAAAGAATATACGAGACTATAGTTTAGAGGAAAACTGGACGTGGATACTGTGGGAGTCTAATTGGGCGACGTGGAAGGCGTTGAATTCTGCGGACACTTCTTCTCAAGGCCTTTCCAAGTCCGTTTGATTCAGCCTCCTGCCAGCCAAATGTTTGCTTTCTCCATTTCTCGATGAAATCAACTGCGGAATCAATTGCGACCTTCTTTGCGACTTCCTTAGCGACATCAACAATGACTTTGCCCCAAGAGTTTCCATCTTCTTCTTCCTCGACATCGGAGTTTCCTGTTACTTGCTTGAGTGCGCCATTGATGAAATCTGTGACTGTCTTGACAACAACTTCCTTGACAACATCTTTGATTGCATCCTTGAGACCATCTGGGATTCTGACTCCGTTTGTTTCAGCTTCTTGCCAGCCGAATCTGTCGTGAACGAATTGCTGGATTCCTGATGAAATTGTGTCAATTGCGACCTGCTTTCCAACTTCCTTTGCGATTTCAGCAATAACTTTGCCCCAGCCATTTTCTGGATCATCAACTTCTAAGCTGTTAACTTGGGATTGCTGGAAATGGAATTGTTTCTTGAGAGCATCAGTTACAGCAGATGTAACTGTGTCAATAACAATTTGCTTAGCAAATTCTGTTGCGGCCTTGATGACGAATGGTGGAATGACGTTTTCATCATCAGAGTTGACACTTTCTTGCAACTTCAAATGATCATTGACGATTTTAACAATGGAATCAATTGCGCCACTGACGAGGATTTGCTTTCCAATCTCTTTAGCAATTGGAATAACAAATGGTGGAATTACATTGTCATCATCTGCATAGTTTGCTTCCATCTGCTGGAATCCGAGCATCTTCTTTCCGGCTTCGATAGCAGCTTCGATGGCGGCCTGCTTGAGGATCTCCTTGCCAACAGCAATGGCGATAGAAGCCCATGGATTGGATTCTTCTTCTGCGTTTGTGAAGCGAGATGGGTCCTTACGGAGCTGTTTGGCAAGTCTTTCAAGGTCTAACTTGACGTCGATTAACTTTGGTTGAATTCTGTTCTCTTCGGCTTCAACCTTCTTTAGCTTCATCATTGCTTCGGCAACAACTTTTGTGATGTATGGGATAAGTGGGTTTGGAGCAATGATCATCGGAGAGTTCTCGCCCTTCTTAGCAACGTAATCTTCGGCATCACGTGCAAGGTGCTGAGCGGCTCTCTTGGAAATGTTATAACGATAAAGTGGGAAATGATGGATTGTTTGGTTCTTAATGGCCTTGAATAATTCTTTCTGGATTCTTGGGAAAACAACTTCCTGGAAGAAAGCTGGTTCCTTAAGATATTGTTGGAATTTTGCTGTTGCCTTGTCGGCCTTCTTGAAGTATGGAACTAAGAACTGGTCACGGTAGTGCTTGAAGAAAACTGTGGTATTTTCTGGAAGGCGGCTTGCTGCAAGAACGGTTAAAGCAAGCATGAAAAAAATAAAAATTGGTCTTATTTAATTGAAAGACTTCTCAATTTCAAAAAGCCCTGACAATCAGATCATTCCTTAATTGTTTTTGGTGTACCAAGGAGTAGAATTAAAGAAAAACAAAATGGCAAATAGCGGTTTTTTAGAATTTGATAAGAGTTAATTCTAAGAGCACTTAGCTTCTTTATATACTTATTCATCATAATATGCAAAAAAATCAAAATTGGATTAATTTTTCTCAAATAAATCATAATTGTTTTTTATTGCGTCCATTAAATGATCCAAATCCATCAATAAAATTTTGAATCGACCAAATAAAATTAATATGAAAATTTCATAATATTCATTTAAATTAATATGTTTATGATTGATAAATCTTTGGAAACGATTTAATTAATTCAATATAAAATTGAATGAACTGAATTTAAATATGATCTGACTACGATGTATCTATAAGTAAATCTGACTAGATTTTCTACAAAACAAGTTTCATAAATATTTCAAAAATTAATTCAAGTTTTGGTAAAAATAAATGTAACTCCGTAATGTTGTGACCTCGACATGGATTTTGTATAGAATGAAATTTAAATTCTGTCTTATTTTTGATAAAAATATGGAAACTCAATTATTAATAATATTTTATGTAAATCTATTGGTTGCTGAAGAGGATGAAAATTGGGAAAGCCGTGGTTTTAAAAAGAATAATTTTAATTATAAAAAAGAGTTTTTATGGCAATTTGTTGAACTGATGAAATAAGTAAAGGTTTTTTTGTATTCTTTTTTCTCTTTCAATAACTATTTTTGAAGAATAAAAAAAAATGAAATATTTCCGAAATTTATGAGACTTTCTGATGATATCAGCATGGTCGAACTATACCTTTAATCAATTTGTAGTAAATTCTCTCCGAAAGAGTCTATAAAATAGGTCGCGGACAGTGATAAAAAACTTTATTTCAAAAAAAGTGACGATTACCATCAACGATTTATGACAACTGAACTCTGATGCTAACGCACGAAATCGTTATGAATCGTTGTTCACGTAGCAGTGAAAAATGCTATGTGATAAGTGAAAATCACTGTATTATGCTCTTAACGACCCAAATCAAATCATCAAACTTAGCGACGTATAGGTAAATCTTAGCTTCATAGGAAACAGATACACTACCGTTTATCGAAAAGTGTTTCTTCTATCACAAATTCTTTTCTTTTATTACCTACTAACAATCAAAAGAAAAACTCCAACAAAACTACAACTCTCATCAGAATAACTTGCAAGTTGGGAGCGAATTTTTCGTATAGAGCTTGCTAGCAAAGAGAACGAATTTCTTATTCGAACAACGAATGAAATGCAAGTAATATTCGTTATTCCAAAGAAGTGGTGTAGTATGTTTGTGATTCTTTCGAATAAAAAACTTACAATTTTTGATATTTTTCCGATGTAAAAAAAATCGTTTAAAAATTAAGTTGTTTCTAGAGCGAGGTATACCAACTAGCTTGCAGATGTTTGATTGCAAGTAATCGGAATAAAAATACAAATATTTATCTGAAATTCGAATTTTTTATTGTTGAAATTCGAAAAATTCAACTGCTGATGAGTAATCTAAGTAATCATGCTGGTGGATTTATATAATTCTGCCAACGTATACGATCCGAGAATAATGTTTGCTAATTTACTCTACATGGTATTAGCATAATTCTAGGATCATAGTTGTCAAAGATTGTTTGAGAAAAATTAGTATAACGATCGGCAATTTTTAAAAAGATAACAGTAATGAATAGTAATACTGTACTCCAAAGGAGTTTTGATCGATCTGAATTTACTTTGATATCGGAAAACTCCGGGTTTTTTGAGCTTTGATGGACTTTAGACGAGTTCTTGAAAAATTAATTTGGCACTTTTGGCTTTTGATAACGCTTTTTGCTATTTTTTAGAATCTGGATTAAAGAGATCCTTTGGTTATACAATATGTTTCAAAGCATTTTCTGAGCATAAAATTAAAGAATTATCAAAATAATTTTGTAATAAAAAGTAATTTGCCACGATTTTGTTGGATATTACATTTACATTAATAGTAGTATACTTTCCTAGAATTAAAATTTTCCAAAAAAATTCATTCTAGTGATTTTGAACAAAAAAGCAATAAATTTTAAAACAAAATTATGATTTCGAATTTTTTTTGGAAAAATATTCATATTACTATTATAATTTCTTTCATATGCTGAAACTAATTATTGGTCAGAATTCAAAATTATTATTTTTTAAAAATATTTCCGATTGCAAATAACTTCCATTAAGGATATTCAATCTATGATATAACTAGTCATATGAAACATTTGCTATTGCTAAAAGAATAATAAATAAATTCATGATTTATCAATTATTTTCAGATTATATGGAATTTCAGAAGCCATTAATACAAACATCTTATATGACACAAAGATTCTATTAACTTTCCAATGTTATCAATATGTTCTTACTTGAATAATTTTCAAATTTTTATTATTCGCAAAGTAATTAATTTTGTTCTTATAATTAACAATTTTACTGAATAAGTAAACCAACGAATCCATAAAAATCTTCATCCGCCATTCCGTAATTGATTTCAAATCTATTGGATCAAATAATACTTTAAAATTCAATATCTCACCAACAGTACATTGACTCATCAAAGGTACAAGCAAGAACAATATGTTGTTTCTTCTAAACATTTTGATGGGTGTTTTTCAATTGTTGAAAAGTTCCAAAATCGCATAATTTTATTATACGCTTATGCACATAACTATAATATGCTTTTTATGCATTATCTACATAATTATATAGGTGGAGACCCATCACATAAACTTGACTCAATCTATCAAAAAATTATCGAATCTGAGATACCCAAACAGTTATGTTCCTCTTTCTATAGATATCACAGTTTTTAATGAGATCAAGCATTTTGGGTTTATGAAGAGAAAACAATGGTTTGAATTTCAGGCGAATAAAATCCATAAAATTATCAAAAATAGTAGTCAATGAAGGATACATTATATTGTTTTGTCTTGTCTCTTAAATTTTTATATCTCATTCAATTTTACCGTAAAAATTCTCAATTGTTTGAATTGAAAGTGTTCAGATTTCAAATATCATTCACAAACGTTATTAAGTGATAGTTCAAGAGGCATGTGATATAAGACTTTAAAAAGAATATTAAATTAAAAAAGTAGATTTGAAACTAAAGAAATTTATTCTCTAAGATAAAAATTACTTACAGCGCATATATATCCAAGGATATAGATTATAAATTAATTACCAAAATCGAAGAACTTTGTGAAGTCGATATCCTTGTTGAACAAATCGACATCAAATTCAAAGTTGTTTGTCTGAGCAGGTCTTTCTGTAGTTTGTGGAGCACGAACAGGAACATGATTGCTCTGAATATCTACCTTTTTAGATAAATACTTGTGCCAGCGGTTTTTAACGTTGTTACCGCTTCTACCATCGAGCATTTGTGCTATTTTAGTCCATTTAGATCCAATCTTGTTGTACATATTGACTATAATAGCATCCTCATCTGGAGTCCATTTATCTTTCTTCAAATTCTTGTAGAGATAGTTGTTGTATCTATCCCAGCACTGTCTAGCTGTTCTTCCATTTAACATTCTTGCAATATCTTCCCATGTATGGCCTTCTCCACTGTTAACATACTCTTTAAGGAGCTCGTCTTCTTCAGGTGTGAACCTTCTTCTATGAGTCTTGATGACTAATTGGTTAAGGTCATCTTCTGAATCGCTGCTTGAATATTTACTGTGCTTCGATCTGAGAAACATTAACGCAAAATGATTTTATAAAGGATTCAATCTACACTGAAATTCTTGTCAAACTGAAATAATAAACACTGAAATTTCATAACAAATATAGTCATATTTCGCTATTAGATTAAACTTTCACATTCGATAATTTCAGCACAAAAGTCATTCACAAAAAATTTAGCGGAACAGAAAATTTCTATTATTATAGGATTATTTGTTAAGGATATTGAAATTTAAGTAGCCATCAGTAAAAGTTTAATGAATTAATCCCAGTAACACAATATATTATGGTGAAGCACAATTACAAAAAAAAATTGTAATTTCATATTAGTAATTTATTATTAAAAACGAAAGTTATTTGAAAACATGTTTTAAACGATCAAACAATTGATTATCAGTCATTGAAATTATGATTTCCAAAATTCGATTTGCTTTTATTATCTGTAGTGTATGAAAACATAAATTATCTAGTAATTACAATAAAATGTAAAATTGAATGTTATCCCTACAATGAAATTAATTTCGATGTGAAAAATATAGATGCAATTTCTACCAAATCTAGTCATAGATTTTTTTTGAAAGTATTCAAGTTGATTTATCCTCTCAAAATCATCAAATTTTCAATGGGATAGTTAGCGGCAACCGTTGATCAAAACATACAAAAAAGATCTCTCCATATATTAATATTTTAAATAATATATTTGGCCTCTGAAAAATTATTATTCAATACATGACTGTCATGATGATTTTATAAATTATTCAAATTATGATGTTTTCTAAATCTTTTATCAAAGAAAAATACAAATATGTAAAATGTCCATGTTATTTACTCAACTTTCGCGAAAATTTCAAAGAAATTACGTTGAAATCTAATATATGTTCAGTGTAATCAATAAACAATCTTCGTGACTATGTCTGATAGTAATGTACCAATTCAATGCTCTGTCAAATTTCTAATAGTTATGCTCATTAATTTGAACTAATATTATTTCATATATTGACCTTGCTTCTAGTACAGTTCTAAATACTATGCATATTTAACGATCAGTGAAATATTCATTTTGTAAAATTGCAAAGATTAAGTTCATTTTTTGAAAATTTTATTTCAAATATTGTAAAATCAAAAACAAAGCCTCGCAAATTAAATCAATGATACTTATTAATATACAATGTTGGGATCATTACCAAAAAAATTGTTGTTTGATCATTCATATGATAACTTGTATCCTAATACTAACCTTGCTTTTAATGTACAGAGGAAATATTGCTACAAATCAGATAACTCTATCTATTTAATCATTGGTTAATTTAACAATAATTTTATCGCTAATTTTTCTTTACGTTTATTTAGCTTATAGCCAGAATAATCAATAAAAACACGTATATTACTTAATGACAATACTTTTATAAACTAATTTAAATTTATTGAGCTCTTTTTCATTTTCAATGATTACTCCTACTTTATGGAATACCAAAAAAATCAGGTGCATTAAATAAGTTCTCATCTTCCTTAAAGATTGTCTGTATAATTGAATCTATTTCATTCTTCTGGTTCTCTTTGGTTTTATTTTGTCTCATTAATAATTTGTATCGGGATTTTAGACTATTATCTGATCTATTATTAAAATGCTTTGAAATCAATATCCATTTGGGACCATATAATTCTCTGAGACTTAAAAGCTTTTTATCTTCTTCTTGAGTAAAAGGTGATACATTTATGTTCGGGTCTAGGTACTTCTCATATCTATCTTTACATTGTCTGGCATTTCTTCCTGGAAGCATGGGTCGTTATCGATTTTGTAATTTAATCGTTATCGATTTTGTAATTTAATCGTTATCGTCTTTTTCTAAACGTGCATTTTGGAACTAAATCGCATATAACTTTAAAATGACTTAATATTTAAAGGTTTATGTGGTAAATATCAACGAAATGTAATATTAATATGTGCACCATATATGAATTACAGACATTTGAGCAATTCGAAATTTCATCGCGTTATATATTCATTTAAATTCGATCAAATCAACATTGCAATTATAAAACCATTACACATCCAGTCAATATTTTTCAATTTCATGCGAATTATATCATTATTACACATTTTAAAATGGCGAAATATAGTCCAAAAAATAAACTTCATTTTAAACTCAATTCTCACACATATTCGGATTAAATCATATGTGACTCATATGATCATACATCTCATTTGAGGTCTAAAAATGATTTACCGAGAAAACTTGCATTCGAACTAAAATTTACTAAATTTAATCAAATTGGTTTACAAACGTAAAGTTTATGCCAAATATTTACGTTTGTAAACTAATTGAGTAAATTTATAGCACTTTTTTTCTCGATGCAATAATTTGAACTACGAGTTTACCAAATTAGTTTACAAACGTAAAGTTTATGCCAAATATTTACGTTTGTAAACTAATTGAGTAAATTTATAGCACTTTTTTTCTCGATGCAATAATTTGAACTACGAGTTTACCAAATTAGTTTACAAACGTAAAGTTTATGCCAAATATTTACGTTTGTAAACTAATTGAGTAAATTTATAGCACTTTTTTCTCGATGCAATAATTTGAACGACAAGTTAATGTAATTAGTGTTCTCATGTTTACAATTCAATATGTCTATGCATATGATATATGCAAATTCTATAAATAAAATATTATTAAATAAAATTCTTTTCAATTCCTTAAAAATAGCGTTTCTTTTGAATAAAAAATGATTTTTAACTAATTTTAGGACTCTTTCTATTTCAAAAAAATACCCGAATTTAATTTTCTGATGCAAAATTTATGCTTTTTATCATGAAATTCTTTTTTTCAAAATTTTTTTGGATTTTTTTCCATTTTGAATATAGTTAATTTTACTTTATTTCACATTCTATTAAGAAATACTTAGGCCAATCTATGGCAGTCCCAACGGGAACCGCGGTAATTTACCGAGGTTTCCGCACACCGGTTCCTTTTTTAAGGAATTTTTAGATTAAAAAATATGCTTTGTAAATCATTTTTTGTAAATCGGCAAAAATTTGTAAATATTCTGACGACAATAAATCTGGGAATAGTATTTTAAATACGAGAACAACCTATTTAAAAGTGTTTCGCTCGATTTTGTATAATTTCAAATTTTCGCATATAGCTTTCCGTGAATTACCGTGATTTTACCGCCACATCAATAGTTTACGACACTTTTTCCGTAAATTGAGTAGTTTACTGCACTTTTTCCGTAAAATTGAGTTACGGGAATCCGTAAGATTACCGTACCTCACTTCTAGTTGAAAATAGCATTAGTATATAATAAATAGATATATTATTCATATTTTTGATTTTGAATTACGGAAAAATGAGTTAGAACTTCCAATTATTATTTGATTAATTATGTTAAAAAATACTATAAGGAATTAAAATACATAATGTTGAAATTTGAATTACGGAAAAAGTGAGGGTGAAAGTGAAGTGAAAAAGTAAGATATTTTTTGTTGAAATAATCATAGTTGTACAATTTTGAAACTATATGTAAAGCTATAAATTGAATAAATTCAAAAACAAAAATTGTTTATTCTTATTAATAAATTTATATTAATCAATATTTGAACAACCCGTAATTAAAATTGAATTCCTCTTAAAATTTAATCCATACGTTAATTTTTAATTTGCTCGGCGAATGCCGAGCTTCCCTACTTCTCTTGTCATTCCTTCAAAAACTCTAATCTCATCGCACTTACAAACATCATGATTTGATGTATTGTCGAGAAATCTTAGACTTGTTTGTCATTTGATTATAGCATTTGAAAGTCATCTCGAAAATCGATTAACAAGACAATTTCCCAACATCTACATACAAGTAGATGATGGTAAACCCATTAGAGTTGTTTTGCTATGATTCCTCCAATCTTATGATGAGAAAAATCATATCAAAACAGCTCTAATCGAACATTCTACACAGCTTAGCATCCAGCTAGTTCCAAGTAATGCGATTACAACATCAACGGCCAAAGCCTTTCAGAGTCCTTTAATCATTTCTTCTCATCTCAATGTGAAGTGGCCCCAAACGAACTACAAGCTGACGTTACAACGCATTACAACCCGGTTAATACGAGCATATACATTAGAGCTGCTTTGTTATGATCTCCCTCATCAATTGATGAGAGATCTCATTATGAAGCAGCTCCAATCGAACTAAAAACCTACATACAAATGAGTGAAAACAAATTCATTAGAGTTGTTTTGCTTTGATTTCTCTCATCAGAAGATGAGAGATACCAGAACAAAACAACTCTAATCAAACTTTCTACACAACTCAGCACAGTATCAATGCAAAGTAATGCGTCTGTATCGTTAACAAGCAAAGTTGTTTCGGGTCCTTTCATTTTGGAAGAATTCGGAACAACTTTGCGAATTGATAGTGTAAACCCATATACATGAAAGCGTGCATGCATAAAGACAGGTATTGTTAGCAATGACTACCTGCCCAGCTATGAGTGATCAGAGAATTACCATCTCAGGCTTTTTGAGAACGTTTCAGCCAGGACCCTCGTATGTTGACTGTGAGAAAGACATCCTTTATCTGAAATAGATGCTTTTCCAACAATCAAATTCGAAGATCTTCGACGTTGTTGTAAAAAGAGAAGGAGAAGGAAAGAAGAGGAAGGAGAGGAAGAAGGAAAGGAAAAGAAGAAGAAGAAAAAAGAAAAAAAATAAAAAAAGAAGGACATATTAAATATAATGCGCACTTAATTATCATAAGACAAATTACGGAAAGTGAGCTCAAACAAAAAGTGACACAATGCATTTGCCAACCAAATAACTTTACAAAGCAAAAACTTAAATTACTTGTCAAGCTTACTATTCTTATTTTAACAATTAAAAAATTAAATTTTATTTTTTATTTAAAAAAATCATCTTATATCATCTGATATATATATATAACAGCATTAATATTTCAATGATTCACAAATCAACTTTTTCATTATTTTAAATAATTATAGAATATATACCGACTTTTT